TTATGACTTTTCTCTTACCTCTTTTTCTATGCAAAACGATAAAGATGTATTTCATACTAGGAGAAAATCCAACGCTAAAAGATGTACAAATTTGCTATTGATTTAATTTCGGATGAAGCATTTTTGTCTAAGTAAAAACAACTCTTCAGAAGCAGCATGAGCAAACACGAGATCTTATCTCATAGAAAGAAAAACTCAAAGGAAAAAAATAACACTCTTTGAAACACTTTTCTTCAGTTATATGAGTAATTCATTTAGTGTCTAAGTGAGAGTAAAGCGAAGACTACCATCATCGTCATGAAAATTACATTTTTGACATGTTCCCATTATTGTGCATTTTTTTTAAAAAAAGCAATTTCTTCAAAAGCTAAACTAATAGGGAAAACCAATCAGTAAATCATGGCTATGTATCAATTTTGTAATCTTTTCCTAGATAAAGAATCATATTTTGCTGAAACTTTGTACAAGTATTGAAATATTAGATATAAAAAGAGAGATAAAACAATAATAAACTATTCGAACGGGTTACAAGAAAATAATCTTTATACTAACCGATGTAATAAAGATTCACGGCGGTGCATAGTCATTACATCTAATAGTGTAAAATATGAAACTAGCATGATCAGCCGACAGAATAGAATCTGGATAAATTTAAAATTGATTGTAAAAAGAAAAAATATCATTGATTTGGATATGGAACATTCAAGAAAAATGATGACAGTGCACAAACATTTTTTATGACCCATCTACTTCATTGAAAATATAGTAATATTTTTAGTTAATTTCATTTAGTGATACTAAGGTTTATGCATACATATATCTCTCAGACAAACATCTAAAATGAAAGAAACGGTATTGAAAGCGAAACAAGATCCGTATTTATGTTTGCAATTTCAAACTCGTTTTATGGCTCATTTATTATGCATTAGAAAGAAAATTCGGTATCGGTTATAAGTATAAGAATATACTAATAAATCGAGAAGAAAATCATCGGCAGTTTCTTTTTTGGACCATTGGTGAATATATTTCCGATAGCCAGTTCATGTCTACTAAGACTACTCTCACTTTTGACTTATATGTTAAAAGGAATTGTGTCAAGTTTTTCAATGAGCTACGACAGAGTTGTTGTCTTTCTATTCTTACAGTTTAGATTAGTACATTTATTGAGAGTTTTCTTATGTTTCTTACATCAACAGCAATACTTCGATGTTCGAAATCGTTTAAAAGAAAGTAAGAATACATAAAGCAGAAATATTCTCTAAACAATACAAACTTGGTATTCGATAGAAGTTCTTCGTTTTGAAATTGATGATTTTATTTTGGAATTGAATGAAGACAAACGAGAAAAAGTTATGTTTGTTTATAAATTAATTCTGGTACATAAGATGCAAATAATGAATGTAATCAAATTATAAATAAAATAGCTTTATTTCAATTATGTTCATTTTTCTCGCGGAACGCAAAAAATGACATCTGACGATAAGAACATGAAATTCTCTTTGACGCTTGAGTTCTTACTTCATCTTTAGTTTTTTTTCTCTACTCATGAACAGTATAAAATGTTCGAGAACGTTCTACATGGAAAACTTCCATTTATTTATCAATCGACGTATGCACCAAATCAATTGAGCTAAGCATAGCTACTTTAATCAAGAACACAACACATCGCATTTGATGAGCGTCGATATGTTCTCAATTTGCATCCATTTTTATACAAGATTACTTTATATCAATACTATCAATGTTGGTATGCTGTTCATATCAACTACTGATTATACATCAACTATGTATTTGAAAAAGGTTGATCCTTATCTAACGAGACAATGTTCTCAATGAGCAACTGAGTCTTAGCTGTCAAGTAAAATTCTTTTTTGAATTTTGATCTGAAATCTTGTTCACATAAAATTACAATTAGATTAACATATAGAAAGGATTTTCAGCATTTTTACACTCAATCTGTTCGAATTCTGAAATTTTTGAAGGATTCAGATGGTGAGACTCATTAGAAGAAATATCGATACTGACAGATACGTCGGTACCGACAGTCAGGTCTATATCGAAAAGCATGTATGAAAGTTGATGGTTTAACACTTGAAATCTATATAAAATCACGTAGCACTTGCATACATTTGTATAATTTATTGCAAGTTTTCATCTATTCTCTTGACAGCCCATATTCAGCGTTGGCAATAACTATAAAAATAAGAATTCAACAAGATTTATGAGACGCACGGACTATCAAAGCAATAAAATGCGTTTAATTATTTGAAATCCATTTGCATTCTTTTTTGCTGTTCTCTTCTTAAACCTCTAAGTTAGTATAATATGCGACATGAAACTTGCACTTTCAAGCCTTGAGCAAACTCTAAATGCTTTGGACAAATAGGATAGTCGTTTTTGAGAGGCGATAAAACACATGAAGCACACAAATGTACTTAAATTTACCAGTGCTGCATTTCGCTAAGAAGTGCAGCTGGATCAAAATGTGCTGGAAGCACAGATACGTGTTTATTTCAACTGCATGTCAATTACTTTGATTTTTAGAGAAGTCACAACACACTCAAAAGATACGATTACTTGTATTTCATCTAGTATATAAGCGCCTTTAATCGTGTTCTTGTAAATTTTTTGGAAAATAAGCATTCGAGGATGTTCGATGGAGACACAAAATATAATTAAGTGTCGCTAATCTGTGTTTGATGCTAACATGAAAATCTAGGTAGCAAAGATGCGTTTGCATTTTCTAGCAACAGATTCAACGGTATGTTCGATATGTTTGTCATCATATCTACTGTTGCGTTCATTAGTTGCCGATGGGAAGGTCGATTGCTACGTTCGGACATAGTCTTCATCGATCGAATACTGGTACGAATTCAAATTTAGGAAAAGAATTTCATTAGAGACGAATATCTAATCGAATTTTTACTATGAATACAAAAGATGAGATGAATCGCGTTCGTTGTTGTTCTTAGTTCGTAGTACGACATCTCTAGAGTCGATGATCAAAACACTTGGAGATATTGAAAAGTTCCTGATTCAAGGTATTTCTTTGCAAAAATGTATTGAATCGGTTTGAACAAAACTTATGAACATGGTACTGGTTATCCGTGGGAGAGGAGATTGGCCATCAAGCTATGAACTGACTCTCTTGACGTTTTTGTCATGTTCAACAAAAATAGAATAAACTTCTTTGAATAGAAACGTATCGAACAAAGGATCAGTTCAAAGCATCATGCAAAACGTTCAACGAGTTTTTCATTTTGTACTTAGGTCATGATAGAATGAGCCGAGTACTCTCAATAAATAAATACGCAACTAACTAATCGATCCTACTAGATGATCTAAAGGGTAAATATGTGATATTCACAGTAATTTTTCTCGAAAGTCACTTTCTCTTGCAATTCAAAGTTCTTGTTAGATTTGTTCTCGTATGAAATTATTTGTAGTCATATACGAAACTTATTTTTCTTCGTTATGTGTAATAAAACCAGTCGATTATTTTAGATTCTCTTGAGTTGAGTGTAATAGTATGCAATTACATAGACTCTCAAGCTTTTTTTTATATATCATGATCAAAAACATAAAATAAAATAAAACTGTTCTTCACATGAGGAAGCGCCATAAACGGCTTGATTTAACTTTTCTTCATTATTCATGGATATTTTCTCCTGGGTGATTCATCATTACTGTACTCTTTTCACCATAGAAAGAATTACTATTTTAGCTTACGAAAAACTCGAAGACGTATGCTGAGATATGTTTCGTGTGACATACGACATATTTCTAAAATTATTTATCCACAACCAGAGACAAAAGTTCATCAACTCAATTGTGATTGGTATCGTAAATTCATCTACAATATCATTCGATCGAGCCATTCCGTTTGAAAAAGTCAGTATTGATATTATTAAGCAAGATCAATGAACAACAAGCGAAGGTGTTACCATGTTGTAAGATCAGTACTAAATATACTAAATCTATCTCATGGACATACTTAAGCTCTCTGTTTGTCAGATCCAGATGAGACTAATCTGGTTCTGATAAGACGTGGCGAGTTTTACTTAGGTAATAAGAAAAACATTTTAGCATTAGTGTCAAGCAAATTTTGACTGTTTTTCGAAATAGTCTTGCTTATATTCGAGAAATGGTAGTATATTTGAGTCAAGTTTTTCATGAGTTATCTGAAGATTATGGAAGCGGAATGGAATCTGATTCTGAACGAATCCATCTTGGATATATTATATCTACCTGTGAGACAAGCAACATGATGTACTGCTAGTTACACTTCGATCAATGGGTCCTTGATTAGATTTTCATAGTTATTGAAATAAAGTTTTTTTTTGCAAAGAAAATTTTTCATCGTCTTTAGTTAGTGAATAATTTATGGGATATACAGCAGGGTTATCGAATGTTTATAGATGATCTGAACTTAATTGAAATCTATCAGTAGCTGATTAAACCGAGCTGATCTAGAGAGAATAGATTCTGATAATCTCAGATTAGTCAAGCTAAATGTCTAGTATGTTTGCCTCACACAGATGTTCTTTTAAAGAGTCGTTTTGCTGAAGTATGATCATCGTTACTTTTTCCTGAACATGTGATACTATATGAAATGTTGGCTTTGGTGTTGTCAGCAGTTTTTAATTGATCTACAAGTGTCAGCCTTGATGTGCTTACTGTCAAGGTCGATGAGAAAGAGAATTTTTTTTTCTAAATCGGTCGGAATGATATCATACTACCTCATCACAACCTCGCTTTTTTCAATTATTTGATCAGTTTATCAAAAGATCATTAAAATGAATTGATACAAAATGGTTATTAGCGTATTCTCGAATGAAGTACACTTAACAACATAGATAAGAACAAGCAATATATGTCAATAGAGATAGAGAGAGGAGCGTTTTATTTATATCGTATTTCGAAGAGCTGTGATAGAACACTTTTGACAAAATTAAGTAACCTACAAGTGCAGGTACAACTTTAGAGATATACCGTGCTAAATGAGCTTAGTTGAGGAGCTTGAATTGAACAGCGCGGATGCAGCTGAGCCAAGCATCATCGAACCAACAGAAGATTTCAATGAAATTGAACCGACTACCGAGGAGTTTTCAACATTGGAACATATTGCTGATAAGATACCGTTAGGTGCCTGGTTGATTGTCGTTTGCGAATTGTGTGAACGTTTCGCTTTTTATGGACTTTCTGGTCTCTTTCAAAATTACATTCAATTTCCGTTACCTACTGGAAATGATACACAACCAGGTGCACTCGATCGAGGACAACAGACTGCCACTGCATTGACGAATTTTTTTCGATTCTTTGCTTATCTCACGCCGATTCTTGGAGCTATTCTAGCCGATCAATTCTGGGGCAAATACAAGACTATAGTTGTTTCATGTGTGGTCTATATGATTGGTCTTGTCGTAATACTGCTGACCAGTATACCGCCAGCTATTCAGAAAGGCGTCGCCTTTCCTGGTTTAATCGTAGCAATGATTATAATTGGTTTCGGCACCGGTGGTGTGAAGAGTAATGTGAGTCCATTGATGGCTGAGCAATATTCTAGAAAGAAAGCAATTATCACAGGTAATTGAAAGATCTTTTGAAGAGAATAATCCTTTTCTTGTTTCTTTATAGTAATTAACGGCCAAAAGAAAATTATCGATCCAAGCGTGTGAGTCAATTAAATGCTTATCTGTTTATTTCTTAGACGATATTGTCAATATTCTAGAACGACACAATCAATGTTCAATTGGTTCTATTGGGCAATTAATATAGGAGCACTATCATTGATTGTTACAACAAATGTTGAAAAGTATCATTCATTCTGGCTTGCTTTTCTTATACCCACAGTTGCATTCGTCGGTGCCATCGTTGTCTTGGTCATCGGTCGCGATCGATACGTTCAAATACCTCCCTCTGGTTCATTGCTCGTTCGCGCTGGTGGCGTTACAGTGACCGCCATCCGAATGCGATGGAAATTGGGCAAACAATCCGATCGTCCAGATCTTTTAGATTATGCCAAAAAACTACCAGGTTCGATCGATCATAATGAAGAACAAACGGCGATAGAATTACGCGACAATCAGTTTATTGATGATCTTAAAAAAGCAATTAGGGCCTGCCGTGTTTTTCTTTTCTATCCGTTTTATTGGATCTGTTACAATCAGTTTGGAAGCAATTTAGTATCGCAAGCAGCGCAAATGAATGTTGGTAAGTAGCTGACTTCTCTTAAAATGAACAAGAAAATAGGGCACTGTGCAATCTTCAATTTCTCGTCTTCTTTTCAGGCCCTCTGCCCAATGATATTTTGCAAAATATTGATCCGATCGTTATAGTTATTTTCATTCCCATCTTCGACAAATTCATCTATCCTGGCTTGCGACGATGTAAAATCAGTTTTACGGCTATTCCCCGTATCAGTGCGGGTTTCTTTTGTGTTTCTATTGGTATGGCATGGTCAGCCATTGTTCAACATCTAATCTATATTACTGGTCCGAATTTCGACTATGTGCCTGAGCCTGGTAAGAATGATCAACAATACAACAATATTACAGTAGCCTGGCAAATTCCAGCATATTTTTTTATTGCCATCTCTGAAATTTTTGCTTCCGTTACTGGTCTTGAGTATGCATTTACTCAGGCACCAGCTACGATGAAATCCATTGTCATGTCACTTTTTCTATTCACATCGGCCATCGGTAGTATTCTGAATATTGCACTTGTACCAGTGTCAGACGACCCGAAAATACTGTGGATGTATGCAGCACTAGCAATCCAGGCACTCTTGGTCGGTATTCTGTTTTTTGTGATCTTTCGAAACGATCACAAGGTACATGTAAAAGAACCATCTACGAAATGATTTATGTCAACCTTTTTTTAACTATCTAATTTTGTCCTCTTGATGATTATCAATAAATATATATTCTTATAGCATTGATTCATGGCTCAGATATTTGTGCGGCCTTTCAAAAATCCATGAAATGAAGATCATTTCGGAGCATCAATCGTCGTAGTATGAGACGAACTTCAGAGTATCTTCTCTTCCATCTCACCCTGACCCATTGACCCATTCTCAAGTCACTTCTTCTACTGATCGAATCACATTAAGCACCAGGATAGGAAATAAACAATTACCAATGTTCGATCAAATTTCAAAACAAAATTCTGCTTTTAAAAAGTTCTTTTCTTCATACCAAAGGAATTGGTATGCGTGAAAACTGAGAAAAGTTTTCTTTAAATAGACACCTAATCGTACAGATTTTTCTGCAAACAGTTCATTGAGACCGATTCAAGAAAAACATCCTTTGTTTTGTGGAAAATATTAACTAGCCTGAACATTGGATCCGCTTTACTGATGTAATGCTTAATCTTCAAGCGAATATTTGCTTGCACATGTTGTCTTTTAAGATGAGCAAAATATGAACGTTAGAGGAGGAGAGTGGCTTACAGTCGAACACCAAAAAGAAAAGAATGATTAGTAGTCTTTCTGTGAAAATAATAACGACTAGGTTTCTAATGAGATCATCAATCGTAGTAGTGTCAGCAAGTAAGAGCTCACACATCCAATCCATAGATCTCGAATTAGCATGGAAGCTCTTTCCTCTGAAAATATCGTTCCTAGAACGCAGCAGAAGCAAAATACTGGAATCACTATCAGAAAACATGTTTTTTTCAATGGTACTCATATTATACAGACTACTGAATTTAGTAGGAACAAGATTTTGAAGCCGAAAAAATACACGCATTCTAATTTGACCATAGTACTTGTAAAATTTGAGGCGACTCCGTTGTACCATTTGAGAGAAAAAGTACAGAAAGTAACATCGTTTTCTTTTAGTTCAAAAATGATTTCGAGAGAAACGAAAAACAAGTTTTCCTGTATCTATTACGATTTTTTTTCTTCAAATCAAATAATACCAACCTAACTATATTGAGTGATATGGGTGTAGTTCTTCTCCTTATCTTTATCTTTCTTTCAAAACCAAAATGTAGGGTGTGGGTGTGTCGTCTCTTCACCCACACCCTCTCCAACTGCTGTAGCCAAAGCGAATTTTAATGCTATTCGACAAATAATTGAAGATGATTCTCATTGACCATACGAATGAATAAAAGATACTCTGAGTATCATTTCGCCAGTGGTTATTTCAACTATTGGTGCATGTGTAAAGTTCTACAAAATTTTGTGCTCGACGAATGAGTTGATAACTCATTAGTGACTGAAAGTAGTGTTACATTTAGTTCGATTGTCATGTACTGAGGAGACTTGAAGAGTCCAATTTCCATCTTGCATTCTATACTATTACTAGTGATAAATCAGAGTTTTATCATAGTTGTAGGAATATCATAGAGTGGTCGAAAATTGAAGCCTTACAAACTAATTGACAAATAGTCAGGACCTAATAAATAAAAGGTCGGACACAGGAATTATGTCGAATTCTTTCACAAAACCAATATTATTAGTATCTAGTAACCGAAAGTCGACTGGTCAATAGCTGATTAACGCAAGGTTTCAAATTGCACAAGAAGAGACATAAAAGGCTAGTTTTTGAGCTCTCAATTTTCACTATGAAAATGCGAGCAGTCGATACACCTGGAATATCAACGGATTTTTTGGCAGATTATGATATGGAATCATACCCTAATATAATACATTCTATAGATCTAATTTCATACGATTTTTTTTTTCTTCTTTCAAAACTCAAATATTAAGTATATGAGATTTGATTCAGCTACAACGATACCAAGTTATGTGTTTCTAAATAGGTCAGTGATGGTCTGAGAAAACATGATATCGAAGCCTTCTTTCATGACCTATTCCAATCAAGTGCACAACTGAATTGTGCATTGATGATGGTACCTTTCGAAGCACCAGTAGAATCAACATTTAAAAAGTTGTCCAACGGTCTGGCGAAGAAAATTTTGGGATTTGGGTGGGAGATAACAAATACCCAGCTATGCCCACACCGATCCATCTATACCCACATCCGACACCTTCGTTTTTTTTCATAGGTATTTACAGTAAAGATTTTCAAGCTGCAAGTAAAATTCAAGAAATTTTTCAACCATATTTATTAAACAATCAACCACGTACAGCAAATTTATTATGCTTAATTGTCTTATCTAACTAATAGTGTTTTCTAAAAAAATATAATAGCATAATCACAATCTGGCACAGACAAAACAGCTGCTTTTTCATTAGTAATTCTGTCACGTATTGACTCATCGATCCCATCAATGAAAGCACTTATTCTTGCACCAACATCTAAATTAGCTATACAAATTAGTTCAGCAATTGAAAAAATGGCACAATTTTACTATATATTAAAATTGCTTATGCTGTATATTAATATAACAATTAGTATTGTTTTTGGTCAATTTTTAACAGAATCAATTGGTATTGGTACACAAGGTACAGTTAAAGGTTGGTCTTGTCTACAGCATGGGATAGATTTAAGTCAAGTACGTATATGTTGTGTTGATGAAGCTGATGTTATAATGTTAACTTATGGCTTTGAAAAAGTATGTGTTCATCTTGTACGAAGTGCTAATCCTTCCGTTTGTCGCATGATATTATTTCCAGCTAAATATTTTGATGAAGTTAATGTATTTGCACGTGAAATTGTTAAAGATCAAATTGTTTTAAGATTAAAAGATGAAAAACAAACACTGCATAATATAACACAATTTTTTATACGTTGTTATGATCAACAACAAAATATATAATGCTATCGGACAAAAGTAACAACACGTGGTTTAGCTGTTCATATGGTAAATCAATAACATTCATCATGAGGATTAACAGCAGCTTGAGATATTGACAAACGTGCATCAGTTATTCGTCAATTTAGTGAGAGTGTATTTAATGTGCTTTTATCAGCAAATGTTACATCTCATGATAAGTTGAATTAAACAAAAACTAATAGAATTTTATAAGGTTCAAGTCTGATCAATAGTTTTTTTTTCATGCATTTCTTCATAGTTTCATTTTCCTAATTATGAATATTATCTCTATCATTCGCTTTCTTTCTCAGGCATGTTCCGAGGTCGCCAAGATTTCGGAAGTAGAGTCTGTTGGATCCATGTCCGAAACTTTTGGATCTGATAGGCAGTAGCAGTTTGATAAATGTGTAGAATCTGCTAGTCGCTGAATACAAAAAGACGGAAAAAAGTATCTTGTATTATCTGAGGGACTATTCAGTTTCGATTAAAAAACTTCATTGAGAGTATCAATGTACGTTTCGATCGAGTCCGAAAATTTTGAACAAAGCGGGCTATAGGACGGAAAAGCAATGATTCACAAGGCCGATCAGAAGATTTTCGCTAAAGTTGATCAGATTTTCAGAGAGAGAATCAAGTATTTTTTATTAGTTGCTGAGCAAAGAAAACAATTAAAAGCATCCGACAAAAAAAGCTAAATTTTTTCCAGATTAAGAGGTCACTATTTCGCTTGGTACACTTTTGTTCTTTCTCTACATATTGATTATTCCTGCGATAAAAGAATTAGAATAAAATCATTGAACTCTTTTCAAGTATTGAAATCGACAATGTTTCATTATCAATTTCAATTATGATATGCAAGATGCTATTGATTATAAACCAGATTATGAAACATATCTTCATCAAATTGATTGTTGTGGTTATTTCTGTAAATTATCTTCCTGAATCAATATTATTGAATAGAAGTCTTTTCTTTGTCTATTGTCAAGCAAGATGTTCTGTTTAATTCTTTCTGTCTTTCTTTGCCTCTTTATACGTGATGCGTTATCCAACATTAAAAAAATGAAGAAAGTTGAACATTATCTGTTCAAGGCCAAGCATTACTTTTGTCATAATCATCATGAATAAGTGATTCAGTTGTATTCATAAAATGTTCTTTTCGTAAATTTTCTACAGTTCTTTTTGTTTTGATTCTTCAATATTTGTTCAGCATGACGTTCAAATTCAAATTCATATGATCTTTTATGTTGAAGAACACTATGTATACTGGTTCAACCGAATATTCTTTTATTGTTCAATATCTTTTTGTGCATGTACCATAAAATTGATGAATACTTAATTCTTCTATTGGTTTACATCTATATGATGCAACTAAACCAAGATCTTTTTTGCATGTTGTTCACAACGACGTTCAGCAAAATATAGTTCACAATCAACACGACGACTATGTCGTTGATAAATTAAATATCTTTCTTCAATCATTTCACCTACATGTCTATTAGGTCGATATACCAAGATATGATTATCAAATGATTAACGTAATAATTGTTCTCAAACATTTTTCATACTGATTATCGTACGAAAAAAAAAATATTACGACACAAAACCAACTTATTGTTTGTAGTTGTCTATTTGATTCTTTTGTTCTTGATCTGACATGAAATATACATTTTGTTAATATACAAAAAATCTCTTCTGATTGAAAATAAAAAAGATTTTGTTTCGAAGGAGGATGGGGATAGCAGAGATGTCCATCGCGGCGCTGCCGCGCCGCCGCCGCTGCCGCTGCCGCTGCCGCGGTGGCGGTGGCGGCGCGGCAGCGGCAGGTTTTTAAAAAAAATCACCGCGGCAGCGGCAGATTTTTTTAAAAGTCATCGCGGCAGCGGCGCGGTAGCGGCAGGTTTTTTAAAAAACCATCGCGGCAGCGGCGCGGCAGCGGCAGGATTTTTTTGGAGGACATTGAAAAACTGTATGAATTTAATAGAATTTCACGATTTACAAATGAAACGCCCTGATATTGAATAAATCTGATGGACTAGTACCCATATCTCTGGTCAAATATAGTCACAGCAGTGAAATTAGAAACACTTTTTTGAAAATCGTCGCGGCAGCGGCGCGGTGGCGGCACGTTTATTTTATAATTCATCGCGGCAGCGGCGCGGCAGTGTTTCTTTTATAAGTCATCGCGGTGCGGCAGCGTCGCGGCAACATTTTTTTATAAACCGCCGCGGCGCGGCAGCGGTGCGGCAGCTTTTTTTTTCTAAGGCCGCGGCGCGGCAGCGGCAGATTTTCAGCCGCGATGGACATCTCTGGGGGATAGATGTCAGCCTTTTGTCTACCTGTATTTCATTGACAGCCATACCCACACCCACACGCACAGCTCGATCCGAGCTGACCTGACCCGAGGTTAAAGATATTTTTTAGTTAATCAAGGCAAGTTTTTTCGACGGTTAACAATCTTCTCACAGCATCTATACACTCTTTCTGAATATTCAAATTAAAGAAATCATTATCTCATCTAAAACCCCTATTTATCCTGTAAGAAGTTCGAAATCGACCAATTCTTTGTGACCCAACCCGGTCGAACCTGACTCGAGGTCTGACCGGACTCATTTTGGACACTGATCGAGAGATCCATACCTGGACAGAGTCGATAAGGCGAGTATTTCTTGGAATATTCCATGTCGATGGCATACGATCAGTTAACCATTCGACATATTCATCGTCTAATAATGATGGAAAGACACAACATTTATGCCATCGATCGTCTGAACATTCGAACTCTAATGCTCGAAGATTTATCATCCGATTAATAAGATCAAGAATAGATGTTCGATGTTCAACTCGAATTCGAAGCACTTCACATTGTTTGACAATTAGTGAATGACATAATCTAACGCATTGGTCATCATTGAACCACCGTTCATCGTACGAACATGCATCATATTCTTGTAAATCAAGTCGACGCAATGTCGAACTTCTAATGTCAACGACAAGCATTTGAAAACAAGGCAATGAAGTAATTTTTAATGAATAAAGATGAGGTGCTCTATCAAGAAGAGCTTGTAATTGTGATCGAACTTGATTGTTTCCAACATCGACAGTCTTATACATGACATTCAATGAAATCAAATGATCGAATGTTGGAATCGTAGACCACAAACACTTCTCAGATGGAAGAATAATAGAAAGATGTCGAATATATGGGAAATGAATCTGCGATGACGTTGATAGTTGAAATTTAGGAAGCTCATGACTGAACTGATGAACATGATTGCAAACAACATAGTCGCTCTCATGAAGACAAGTTGATTTCGTCAAGATGGTAATGATTGAATAAAACTTAGGAAAAGTATAAGGTAATGTATAAAGAAAAAGCATACGAGAATTATCATGAAGACACCAGTGACAGCAAACAAACCATTGATGTTCATCTAGCCAGAATAAGGTTCGATATGAGTCGATCAATCGATCTAGATTTTCTTCCATATCATCATTCTTACCAAACGAAATCATCATTCGCGATTGAAAAACTTTGAGTTTTGGTAAATAATTGATAATAATTTGTGTCCATTGGTGACCATCCATTGGTATACACCAAACCGAGACTTTTAACCGGTACAAATTGGGCATATTTGACAAAAGATTTAATAACGGAAATACAACATCTTGAATAGTGATTTTCAATGTAATCATAGATAAAACAGAATATGATGTTTGTTGTTTTATAGAACCACTGATCGACTTTAAACGAAGATGTTGTAGATGAGGTGTATGTTGCAACAGATGATACAATTCACTTGAATCAAAGTAGCCCGGCTCGAAAGACACATATTTAAGTGTTCATGAAATTGCTTTTAATATCCGAAATAATAGTCTATATTGGGGTAAAATAGCACCAAGATAGCAATGGATGAGTTTAGGTAGACCCCCAAATGCTGTTGATAATCTTCTCAAATTTGTGTGTACTATCTGAATAATGACATTTAATGAAGTTGAGATGAGTGAAATAAGGAAGATGGTATAATTCATCGATTATTTGTATTGCTGTCTCATTCAAATACAAGTGACATAATGAAAGCGAACGCAATACGGTGAATTGCCGTAGAGTAAAATTATGTGAGAGAAAAACTGCAATTTGTTGCGGAGTTTCATCATCGTCTGAGATACAGAGGCCAAGAAAGGCACGAAGAACATGACCGACGGAAAGGAATTCGAATAAATCGAATAACAATTCGTTGGATAATGATTCTAGATTCATATGTATCTTTTATTTTTGTGCGATACTCACTTGCATCTAACAACGCTCTTTGTATTCTTAATGTTGAATAGAAAGCAAAAGCAAAACGTGAATGTTGTTATTGACAAAAGTATTCTTTTGTGATTTTATTTTCACCATTATCACACTTCTTATGTAAGATATGTATGGTGAATGTCGTCTTTCTCTCTGGTCGCGCAAGACTAGTCTTTCGTGTCTTTTTTTGTTGTCTAAAATAGAAATACAAAGTGTGACACATAAGAAACAGATCAGTTACAGGAAATATTGACAAACGTCGAGCAGTATGGTATTGGCCGATGAACTTCAGAAATACATTTCAGACAACATTTTGAAAAACATAAACTCTCTAATATTTTCTAATTTACTCAAGATGATATGAAACAAAGTGAAAATAACAGACAATTGTAGTAAAAAAAAAAAAAGAGCTGAATTGGAAAATGTTGTGTACACATAAAATAAGTTTGTCATTTTTTTTAATAACACAATATTCAGACAGTTTATCAAAATATATATATATATATTCGTAATATAATGATTAAAATATTCCGATCGATTCTTTTTCTCTGATGAATGAGCATAAAGAAGTTACGACAAAAGAAAGCATACTCAACACTACTCTAATAACTATACGTGTATTTATTTATTAATAGTGTCTTTTGTGATTGATTGTTGAAAAGACGAGGGCATCGTTAAAAGAGAGTGTGAGTGTAACTCCTCTTTTTTTTTTACATCCACACACCATCTACTCTTAATTAAATTCATAAGATACACTTTTTTCATATTTATAATCATTCTGTTCCTGTTTTGTGAAAATTATGAGTTCGATTTATGATAATCTTTACCATAGATATGATGAATACTCAGTTATCATGATTACTTTAGTAGATATATATGTATTATATATACAGGATAGGATATGTCTATAGAAACTAAGAGGTTACCATCAGAATCCAGTGTGTACAATATTTTTCTTCGGTGAATTGAGCGTTTTATTGGCTCTTCTGCTTGCGAAATTATAAGCAGCTCAAGCAGATAATACATACATAAATGAACCTCGGACTGTTGATTGATGGTGATCAAAAACTTCGAATGAATTCAATGATAATACTTGATCACAAAAGAAAATTTCGTATTTTCGTTGATGAAGATCTCATTTTTATATGAATATGCTATTAATGCCATGAATTGATTCTAACAAAGTCAATATCTTACATTAAAAAAAAGAATTACTACCGATACTATTTTTTAGTTGATTATAATCTGATTTTATGGTCGTGAAATTTGAACTTATTTTAAAAATTATATAAATTCAATAAATAATTCACAATATAGTTGCGATTTGAACATTGAAGCATCAAGATCTTTAGTTTTGATTTTTTGAAAAAAATCAGAGATTACCTGTGTTTATGATCGAAAAAATTCTTATCAGAAGTACGAATAAAAGTGACGATAAATTTAAAGCTTTTTTTTTCAGTTAAAGAAGCACTTGATGTTACTTTTGAGAGATGTTCACGCGATAATCGTCATTAAATATTCTTCGAAAAGCACTGGATAATGTTTTTTTTTCGACTGTGAGTGTAAGTATGCGTAAATAAAAGGAAAACCCACACACACACTCTGAGGTTCAACGAAGACACAATCCAGAGTACAATGAAGTGTGGCTGGCTATAGATTGTGACTTTAGTTGGATAAAGATGAGAACTTCTGTATTCCGCTTATAATAAAAATACAGATATTAAAAACAAAATTTGTCTTTGAAAGTGTTCTAAGTCATCATTACATAGTGAGTCGATGATTGACAATGGCAATATTCATGTTTTAAATAATGGTACGAGCCTATCAGATGCTTTTATCGCAAAGATGTAATCCGATATTACTTTCACAACGCTTTTTTCTTCTATAAGGATTACTTTTTCGGAGAAAAAAAAGTGCTTAAGAAACCAGTAGAGCAATATCGAATTTCTGTTTATCGAAAGATCACATCGTGCGCTTCTTCATTTTCGGCGAAAACATCGTCTCTTCATTAGATATAAAGATGGGTGCCGTCGCTATTCCATCTCATTTCAACACAAACGATGGTTTCAACAATAGTTCACTGTTTTGTATTTGCTCTATGCAGGTAATTCTAAAACCTATTTTTTCCGATTCATCTAATATTGAACAATCTTCTTTTTAAGCCTTAGATATTTGATTCTTGTTTCGTTTTATATATTCTATTATTATTTTAGTATGTTGCTAATTCAAGTGAAATCTCAATTCTGTCATGGAATACCTCAATATGATCGATGTTCATCAAATAGTGCGTGTGCCTGTTTCTATATAGCAGGTACTATTGATATTGGCATTTGTGGCGATGAATTCGTGGATTGTTCTGAACTACATCCATGTGAAGGCTCAAACAACCTTTGTCGTGAACCTGGTCATAGATGTGTTCACCATCCTCGCTGTAATGGCCTTCCTGTTTGTTATCCAATACCAAGTTTCAATCAACGACTCTGTCCAGCGATAGAAAGTAAAAAAACGAACAATGCTCTACAGAGGGTATGGACGTGGATGTGATCGTTATTCTTGTTATCATCTACACTCACATCCACATCCTTGACTCAGCTGTCTCAGTACGATAGTAATACGTGCAAACTGTAGCTTGCCCAATCATCTTTGAAATGGCTACTTCTTCTAGAGACTATGCCTCAATGTATCGAAAATTCGAGAACTTTTTTGAGAGAAGAGTATAAGAATGTAGACTACCTGTTGACGAGCAGGACGAGAGAGAGTTTGTAACAATTTATTTTTACATTGTTTTTTGTTCTTTCGATTACCATTTAAAGCCATTTCACTCATATTGATGAAATAATGGCATTGCTTTCTAAATGTGAGAGACAAAAATTTCAAATTTCATACTTTGAATAACGATTTTCGTACTGCAACGACACCCAGTGCATTTAAACCTTTGCTTGTATTCAAAATACAACAGAAGTGATAAATTTGAGCAAGGCAGTCTCGATGGATTCGGTTCAATTCAATTCTGATTTGACTCAGTCGAATCACATCGAATCGTATTGTCCAAAATTTTACCGAGTTTTTGGTCGTTGATCAATAAAGAGATTTTTCATCAAAACTCAGTTTTGAAAGAAAAAAAAAATCCCTTTTCAGACTATTTGAGATCGTCACTTTACTTTAAAACATTGTTTAGACTTCATGTAAAACCTAAGTGTACCGAGTTCTATAGTACACTCTATATCAGATGTAAAACTATCTGTTTTCTGTATACTTACAATCTTTTTATGATGAACAATAGCGACAAGCACTACAACGACGACTCCAACCACAACTACAATAACAACTACAACTACCACTCGGAAGTCAGGTAAACTTTAGAGTAACGCTTTTCGACTTTGGTAGATATTAATTTTTGATCAATTGTATATAGTTACTTTATGTGCAATATTACTCAGAACCTAGATAAAGATTACTTATGATATAAGATCAAGAATCTAATATTATAATTAGTTTACTATTTATTATAAGCAAAAATTAAGTAAAGGGTAAATTCCATGCTGGCTAGTTTTCGCTGTAATCGAAGTTCGATTTATTTTGTTGACAGCTATAAAACGAATTTCATTTCTTCTCTTCATTTAGTACTACTAAATATGCTGCCTTTTTACAACAAATGCTTTATTTTAATTTCAAAACAAAACATTTGTCTTCAGGTGCTAGAAGAATGCGCTTTGTGCTAAGCACCTTCTCATTCTCATCTTCATCTGAATTTAGACAATTCTAAAGTCAGATGTTTCAATTCTATCGGACATCCTTTTTGAAAAATTTCATCCATAGTATTGGTTATCAAAACCGAAGAGAGCTTCTTTTTAGTTTCCGATAAAGAGTAAGCATATCATTGCCGACTAATATAGGACTAGTCAAAAAATCATTACAGCTCTAGGAAAAAGTTCCAGGACATCCGAGAATAGTTTCTCGATACTTTATGTTTGAGTTGGCTCTGATCTTAACCACAGGTCTAGCATGGTTATTCATCGAGTAATCATATTTTATTGAGCTAATAAATGATTGTCTTTTGACATTAGAAAAATAATATTGAATATAAAATCTCTAATTAAAAAAAAATTAGGATATTTTTCGTCCTATGTAGCTGTTAACTTGTCTTTGATTACAAAAGGTACCATAGGAAAGACTATAAAAAGTTGAGTATAATATTTATGTTTTCATGTTTGAGATCATTGACGATAGATGTTTTCTGTGGGGCGATCTTTTACTGAAAAATTCTAGTGATGACTAAGAAGTTGTTGTTAAGTTACTGTAAAATAGTAGAGATAGCGTGTTTTCTTTGCTCATTTGGACGAACGGAATAAATTCTTTTTTTTTCCATAAAAATAGCTAAAATATTTCAAAACTCTAGGTTTCTATTTTGTTTCATCTTGTAATACGTTATTTGATTTGTTAGAGACTTCGAAAACGTCTTATTTTGTAGAATTTATTCCATTCGTCCAACTGACCAAACAAAAGACACTATCCTCCTGTTTTACAGTAGCTTTTTAACAACTTCTTAATGAGCACTAAAATTTTTTAGCAAAAGATCGCCCCACAGAAAACATCTATCTTCAATGATCTCAACAATGAAAACATAAATATTATACTCAATTTTTTTATAGTCTTTCCTATGGTATTATTTGCAATCAAACACAAGTAAACAGCTAAATAGAACGAAAAATATCCTAAATCTTTTTTCAGCTAAAGATTTTATATTTAATACTATTTTTCTAATGTCAAAAGATAATCATTCCTTTGCTCAATAAAATACGATCACTTGATGAACGAACTTTTTTTGCCAGGACTGTAGTTGATTGATTAACTTCTTACTACAAGCAGACGTATCAGTCATTCGCAACTATGAGATTATTGGCGGGTTATTGGTAGTTAACAACGTCTTTGCACAATAATGAGGTTGAAAGATTTTCTTTTGTTGCTGTTTTAAATTAATAGAAACTTTTGCATCTATTGCAAGAAGATTGTTTGAACTGTGACAAATAGTGTTTTTTTTATTTTTACCGATATGTCCTAAAATAAAATGATTTCCTTGATTTTCAAACTATTATTTTTATAGTTCTTCTTTTGATATTAACAGTTTCTCACTCTCAAAGCGTAAATTATCAATGTAACTTCGACAATGATATGACAGATGATTGTCAATTCACACTAACGTCGGGTGGAACCTCCAACATGGCCTTAACGTCTGGCAGTACTCCTTCTTCTAACCCTATTCAGGCCTTGTCTGATGTTACTGCCGTTCGTAAGTATTTTCTCAATCAAAGATGATATAGATCAATATCGAATAACATCTATTCTACAGTATCACCAACTATACCGAACAATGAACGCTGCAATTTTCCATACACTTACACACCTGGAAACTGGCAAATGAACTTTTGTCGACGTAATAATAATAATAATTTCACGTGTCCAACTACATCTGGTAGTCCGGGACAATGTGTTATCGGTTGGTTATTTTCTTAGATTTCATATCATCTTAATATTCCTTGAATAAATTGATCATTTGTAGGAAAATTTGCTAATATAAGAGCACAAGGTACTGGTGGATTTGATCAAACATATATGACTGATGTTAAACGAAGCTCGAGCACCATTCAATGTCTTGATTTCTATTACTATATCCCTGGTGCATCAAATAATCCGAAAATACAAGTAGGATGGAGATCAGGTGGAAATACACAACAAATAATTGAATTGACACCACTACCAGAAAACAGATGGCATAATAGTCGAACTAGTTTTATGGCTCCTTCATCATCTTCTTATGAAGTGAGTAATGATATAGTCTCTTATGAATACAGATGCATGATGACTTCAATAAATATTATTCAATGTAATTTCAGCTTACGTTCAGAATGATGCGTGATGGATCAAGTTTTAGTCACTATTTTGGTTTGGATGAAATCAAGATCTATGATCATGCTTGTGGTATGTTTTCTTTTCACAAATTAATAAATTTTTTTACTTTTGGGTCTAATTTCTTTTATAGATATTTGATTTCATGACAGATCAAGGTAGAAACGACTCATTTCATGAAATTTTTGACTTCGCTCTTGTTTTTGATTTTAATGATATAAAATGATTTTTTTGAGTCCTATGATTCAAAAAGCATCAGAGTCATCTATTTTATATTCCGTATGTGTTGTTTTTCCGGGGTGTGGGTGTGGGTGTTTATCTTTTACTCTCCCATATCCACACTTGTTCTTTCTTTATTTTCGATTTCACTTCTTTTTATTGTCCAATCAAGAGTTCAATTACAATATGTTTGAAGCAAAATGGGAAATTGTTGAGAGCTAATGAACCTAGTTGAGTTTACGCGATTTACTTGCTGTAGGTTTACTTTCCATTGAATACTTCGACGAAAGAAATGAGCAGATGAGTAATTATTGAGGCAATTCTTATATGAATTGGTGCATGTCGACCAGGTTACACTCCTAAAGAAATTCGGTCTTGCAGCAAAGTTAAAAGTAAAGATGATTTTGTTTTTCTATTTAATCGATCATTTACAATTTTCAAATTTGATTTAAATCGTATATAATTACTTGTAGTGTATGCTTCTTATAAAAGATTTTTCGATATGGGGAACTGCAAAACTCAATAATTGATCTTAATAAAAATATTAGCATAATAAAGTATATCAATCTATGTACTCGTTTACAACCAGACATTCGGCTTGTGTCACATTGTTCCAGAGATTGGACATGATCGATTTTCTAGAATCTATTGCTCTCTAAGTAGTGTTTACAAATTTGAAAAAGAAAACTTTCCAAAATCGACCTTTTTGTGACTGATTGATTATCGTTATGCACAAGCTTGAATAGAGTGATATCTATGAAAACCTTCTTTTCAATGACGCACATGGCTTTTTAGTCAGCGAGTGTGACGAAAACTATACTCATTGTTATAAAGAATTATTTTGACACGGCAAACTTCGACGACATTCATGCTGTTCTCAGTCGATTCGAATGATGAGATAAAAAAAGAAAGAACACAGTCCTTTATCATTATTCTTTTATCTTCATGTGAAAGATAACGATTGACGTACACTTTTCACCTGAAATATAAAAAGAGATAGATCTTTGTCAGCTTTGTTTCTCTTCGATATTATTTGTACACATGCACACATGACATTCTAATGAGTTTAGCAAATTTCTCCTCATCTTCTCTTCATGTACCTCAGTGCAATGCTGACTTCAGTTCATCATAATCATTGAATCGGATCGTTGAATCATCATCGTCTTCTTACACACCTATTCGATTAACAACAAACTATCAGCAAGCAGATGCTTCATCTGGCATCAGAAAGTCATCTGTGATTGCTGATCCACTTGCTAAGAAGCACTCATCGCATAGTGCTAATCAATAGCTCAAATCGCATCAATAGAACAAAAAATAACGTAAACTTTGCAAGAAACTACCATGGAAAAACTGTCCAGTGATTCATAAACTATTACGATCAAAGCAATTTATTATCAAGAATCAATTACGAATTACGTATTTGCTTATGATATTAATTATCATTGAAGATTGAATAAATGATTTGACTTTTAATCTTCCAGTCAATGGATTATGAATTATTTTCATATAGTTAATTATTCATTTATACTATCCTTGTATATAATTTTTACTTTTCGTTCAGTATAAAATGATTATATCTAAAATTAGAAAAAAATCTGATGAAACACAAAACGTACTTTATTCTAACAGTGTAGGAATAAAAAAAAAATATTTTAGATGGACAGATGTGTGTTTAAAACATAAATACTTCATCGACTGGTGTTCCATTGAAAAGATAATCTAACTAATGCTGATCTCAATCTGTCTCATCACTTATTGAAAAATTTTACTAAGATCAACTTTTGTACAAGTGATTGTCTTCTAGCTTTGTACGTCAAACGATTTTTTACTCACGCAATATGCTTTTTGATATAGTGTGAAAGAATATGATGCACTGTAAAAATGTTCTGTTGCATTAATCAATGAAAGAGTAAGAGAAGTACATGATCATTTGTATGATGTGGATCGTTAGCATTGGGCTTATCTATCATAAACTTAATGGCTATTGATGGAAAATACAAAATCGAAGACATCATATCTTTTATGGGCTAGATCTTTACAGAATCATGTGATGAACTTGATTAAGATCTATTTTGAACAAACAGTTCAGCAATACTATCGTAACAAGTTAAAGCAATAAAAGATTCGATTAAGTGGAGTAGACAACAATAAATCAAGCAGGGGACACTGGTTTGCAATTACATACAATACGGCTCTTCCTATGCTCTATCGATCGGATAAATTTTATCGTCATATAGAAACAGCATACTGACGTTTTTCTTAAAAATGATTCAAAACTAAAGTATACGTCTCATTCTATGTTCATCTAGTTGATCTTACTGAATAAAGTTTCTTACATAACTGTCTTTCATAATTCGTATGGAAAAAAGAAAATGATAGTGAACAATACGACAACTTCGATTTGATAATAGATTTTTAAAGGCTATACATGATGGAAGAAATAATGAAAAATGAAACAAAATATTGAATTTCGACATTCGTCTGACAATGAATCACTTCTTGGAAATCATTCATGTATTACTATCAGCATCTAACGTCGTTCGATTCATGAGTCAACAATCGCTACCCATGCAGTCGATAATGAATAAATAACGCAAAAATGACCCGTTATTTAGTCAAATGCATCAAATAATTAATAGTAATGCAGTATTTAGAATAATGTTGCAACCGTCAATAATTTTTTTTCCTTTCGTGAACGAAAGTTCGAAAACATTGTTTCACAAATCTAAAATAAGTTGCAACAAAGTTTTGCATATATCACAATTCTTTCAAGAACATTATTCCAAACAAGTAAACCGATAAGAAACAGAATGTGAATGTGGGTGAGAGTGTTAATGTAGGTGTTTTTGCAACTCCCACATCGACATTCACACCCTTTCTGCGAACCATATCCGAAAACTTTGGATCCGATGAGCTCGACCTCACATCATCAAAATGCTTTTTTTTTCTCAGTTCCATTTTTCTATCAGAATTCATTTCGATGTAACTTCATGCTAATCTGTGGATCTAAACGTCTTTGTTTTGTAAAGAAATTGAAGTTCTATGCTGTATTATTTGTCTGAGTTGCAGCTTCTATCAAAGCAAGAGATCAATGAAAAAATATTATTAGTATTATTTTAAGGACGAGGAAAACAACAATTCTTGTTATTTAATTATCTTCGGTATATATATGTTGATTCTATTCAAGTGTTTGACAAAGATAAAGTAAATGTGTCATTTTAGGATTAGGATTTGATATTGGTGTTTGTTGAATATCATCTGATAATGCATTAACACAAAAACTACTTGATGGTGATAATTCATTGGCTAATATTGAAACTTAAATAACTTGTTGTTGAATTGACACGTGACAATGTAAGAAATTGTTCCGAACTTTCATTTGATCGTCAAAGAGGACTTTAATAGGAAAAAACGACAATCTATTTTTGATATTTTTTTTAATAAAAATTAGATACAAACAAGATAAGTTTGAACAGCTGGAATTGTTAAAGCATTATTACTTCGTGTTTCATATCTAACAAAACTAAATCTTGAGTATTTAGTTGAATTAAGAAATGTCTCTACTTGATATTATCGTTTGATATACAATCATATTCGTATGGTGATGTACTTGGATATTGAGCCAAAGAAATCTTTTTATTGATTGAAATGTTATTAAAGAGAAATGAAAAAAAAAATACTTGTATCAACATTCATTGAATGATATATTGTTGTCTTACAGTAATTTCTATTAAAATCATCTCAAATTTTCAATGATTTATCAAGTATATCATTAGATAAAGGTCTTTCTTTTCGTTGTTTTTTTATTTATGATTCGACATATACCGAACCTGATGAATCAAATTCGCTTTTGATTGGAATTATTTTCAGTTAATTAGTAAAAAGAAAGTTGAACTAAATCAATTGAAAAGATTTATGAGTGGTTTATGATAGACTTATACATACTCACTAAATCGACGGACTGCAGGAATCCTAAAAGAACTCAATGATATTTCCATGATTGTTCATAGACTTCAAAAAATACTTGCACAATTACTGAAAAACTCGAAGTTGTATTCTGAACTTTTTCGTAAAACTAAATCCTGTTGAAATGTTCAAGTATCGTCTCATGATAAAGATAATATTAATAACTTAAAATTCGAAGAACTCGGTGTATGTATGCTAGGAAGATCTCACAGTTTAAATTACTTAGTTTGATAGCGAAAGCATTCATGTTATGCAAATATGATAAATCTCAGTACACGATCTTTAATTGTTAGATCTGTTTCATATACTCTTGTAATATGCATGACTGGTAAGATAGGTTTTTTTTCAAATTTGCTTTAAAGAATTCATCACTGGTGTTCGATGAACGGGCAAAACAGTCGTAGTACCGACTGATAATTCTCCTAAATTATCTCCCATGATCTAAAAAACAAAACTCTGATTATTTAAATAAAAAACAAGTAGTGATTTATATGAATCTTTAATGGAAGTCTTTGATCAACAATTACATCTTCATCGTCACCGTCATATTATTATAAATAAAAATAAAAATCTAACTAACATTTGAAAATAATATTGTATTCGAAATATTTGGTTTTGTTTCTTCAAATTGTTTATCATTATTATCATCTGTACGTTTATGTTTTATTTTTACGAAATGCATGTTGACCCAGAATATTTTCAACATGTTTTCTTAATGAACTTGAATCTGTATAAGATTTACGACAACCTCGAATTTGGCATTTATATGTTTTCTAAAAAAACAAAAGAAAATTTCACTGGTTATTAATTTATTCGAAAACTAAAATTCAAACTTTATTTAAATGTGTTCGTTTAATATATTTTGTTCGATCTAATGAATTACTAAATGCTTTCGAACAGTCAGCATATTCACATGGCTTTGGTTTTTCACCTATTCGGTTTCAAATAAGAAAAATTAAAAATTAAAATGAATATATACTAAAAAAGAATCACCTGAATGTGAACGTTCATGTAAACGTAAATATTCTGCACGTATAAATGTTTTTGTACAACCAATATGTGAACACTGATATGGTGGATCTTGTATATGTGCTCGTAAGTAAAGAAATAATGAATAAAGTGATTTAAATGGTATTCAATTACATGTGCATGATTACCATTGACATAATCATGTACGAGAATCAATTCGATTAATATGAACAGATCGAATATGTTAACAAAAAGAATCAATAGGTATGAAAGTGACAAATCGATAATTGTTGAAATTGGTACCCCTCGAAAAATTTAATTCCTTCTATATATAGCTGACCAACATCAACAATTAGGTGTGGGTGTAGATGCGGATATTAGTTTCGTTGCTGGTGTCTCTATGCGTGGGAGTGGTTTCGGGTGAGAGTGTGGCCTTTCGTATGGGTGTTGGCGGGTAAAGCTGTGACTGTTGTCTTCCCGTGCGTCTGCATGTGGCAGAGTCGCAGGTTGAGTGAGGGTGCGGGTGCCATGTACGTGCGTATGGGTCACCATATTACTCTTCCTCTCAACCACAATGTACCCCACTCCCAGACACACCCTACAAACATACCTCTCCCCCCACTCCAAACAACACCTGCCATAATAAAACACCACAACATATAAAAGAAATCAAATACAAATTCTATAGCCCAGCGCAATAGTAGCGTGCACCACATATCACAAACTTTATGCACTGTCATCCGAGGACGCATTACACTAGTAAATATTCACCCAACAAACAAAACACAACAAGCCAATTATCCAACCACATACGCTCCGCTATAACAACACAGGAATCAATACCAAACAACTCATAACCCTCACAGTCTAGTAAACATACTCGTCAGTTCACCCGACAAACGTCAACATCCTTGTCGTCATTAACATAAACCACCCAAAACGCTCAACTTTCAACATATATAGTTATCCATTGCTGTGATGGATGTCATTGCCCTTAAGGTAATAGATGAAGTGATTACTCCGCAGTGTGATGAGGATTGGATAGGAGTGAATACGCTTCATTCGAATACCTGGTTACTCTTCGTGTTTTGTAGTGGATATCCGGTGTAACGGGATTATGACATCACTCATCAGGATCGGAAGCAAAACAATTTTATCACGAAAATCTAGTTACCGTCATATTAACTCGGTTTTTATTTTTGTACGAACAAAATTTCACATGAGCGTTTGTTAAAGAAATATGAAAAAGTCATTGACATATATGTAAATCTTGATGAATTGTATCAATCCATTAAAGAGCAATTAAACCTTGTAGATAAACAAATACAAACACTTTCGTTTTTTTTTGACCCACATGGAAAATCGATTTAAGAGTTATCGAAAGCAGCAGCAGCGTTTTTTTGGTTTCAATTATTTAATTATGTCATTGAACGTCTTCCACGAAATCAACAAGCGAAGTAAGAAATGCTTCGCATATGTAAAGAAATAACATTAATTAAAGAATTTGAAGAGACATATCGATCAACTGATGCTATAGGCTGATATTTGAGACAATCTGTTGTTTATAGACTAATCAATAAAACATTAAGAGCAGAAGATATCGATCTTCTGCATATATTTCAAATTTTTATTAATGACCTTTCTGAAGCTCTACGACAAGAACATAAAAAGATTTTATTATTAAAGGAAAAAATTACAAATGGTTACTTATCAATAAGTCCAAGAAAATTATTAGCATTACATTTTGCTATGAAACCAACAAAAAGAACCGATCCCGTACCTGTTCTTTTCCATATTCAATGTGTTATTCAACAGATTAATCAACGTATTACTTTTGCTAATATTAGTGAATTTCTTGACTGAAGGGCGAAAAATAACGAAAGATTATTATGCGATCTAGGTGAATATGATAAATCAAGAAAATATTTTAGACAATTATTGAATGATTCAAACGATGACGACCGTGCACGGATTGAATTCAATATGGGACAAGTTCTCCTTTTAAAGGTGAATTAAACGATGCTAGAAGATATTATGATCGTGCATATAATCGAATGATGAACTGTAGATCAGCTCATACTCTCAACAACATTTGTGTTATTCTATATCAACAAGAAAAGTATGATGACGGTCTCCGTTGTCGTCAACGAGCACTAAATATTCAAGAGAAATGTTTCTCATCTGGTCATATCGATATTGCCCCTACTTTGAATAATATTGGCGTTTGTGATAAAGCTCAAAACAACCAAGATGCGGCATTTGACTACTATCAATGTTCATTGACTTTGTATAAGGAATTTCTTCCTGTTGGTCATCCAAATCGACAGAAAACCGAAACGAATATTCGTCTACTTATTCGAGAAGAGTGAACTCAATTAATAACACAATAAAGGATCAAACTATTTGAATGATTTAAAGATTTTATTTTTGTAGTAGAATGTTTATTTGTAATTGTGAATATGCAACATTTATTCTATGATAGTTTTAAATAATTATAAAATTTAAAGGGTGTGAGTGTGGGCGTGTTTCTTCTCAATCAACACTCACACCACACACACACTCATACTGCCCCACATCTAATAATCGTTTGAGGGTTTTTTTTATCAAGTCCAAGAAAGGTTAACCTTCTTTCTGGTCATCCTTTTTTTTACATTGTGCTATGTCAATAGTTGTCCAACACAAGTTCATTAAACTGCATAACAAAGAAGGCGGAAGTGCAGCCTTCAAGGTATTATTCTCCATGACGTCAGTATGATATGGAATCTGTTAGAACAAGCTTGTGAGAACCTCATCGAAGACGATTTGAAAATCTGCATTAACCACTATTTTGACTTTGAAAATTTGCACTAGAGCTAATGTTCTAACATTTGCCTTAAAAGTTCTTTTGAAAACTAGAATTATATAGTTGAAAGTTCTTTATTTTTCAATAGTTGAATATATTATGATGATAAATCTATTAGATACTTTTCATAAATATTTTGAGACAGGTTTCACTTAGAATACTTTGTGACGAAAAGGTGATTTGAAACAATTGATAGTTCTTTGAGGTCTATTCGTTCCCGATGTTTTTTTCGTTGTTGTCTTTTATAATATATGTCTGATAAAAGTAAAGTAATGCTTTATAATCAGATTCATTTTTCAAATTTAAAAATTCAGTGTCTAATTTTTTCGGAAAGGTCACGTCATCTAAATTCAATGATTGTGTTAATTTATAATTGAATTTCATTCGTTTAATATTATCAAATTTTGCCAAGTTATTGGTGATTGTTTCAGTCAAACTACGTGTAGCATCCATTAATGTATCGATTACCAATCCTTTTTTGTTGGATATATCAAACAACCATGTATATAAACCTCCCCAACTTGTCGATGATAATTCTGGATTATAACATCCTGTACCAATAGAAAGTATGCGATAATTGACCATTTTTTTCCATTGCATTCGTATTGCCCATAATGCTGTTAATTCTGGATCGTTGGCAAACACACCTCCATCAATATATACATCATGAGGTTTAGGGCCTTCAACAAAACTACCATTTTCTTTTATTCCCTTAGGGATTGACCATGGTTGAAAGTAAGTAGGAGCAGCCATTGTAGCCTTTAACACATCTGCTATAAGGTACTGCCAATGTTCAGCAAAACTTGTATTAAATACGGTAATGCTACTTGTTGTTGTATTGTAAGCAGTAATAAGTAATACCTTTTCACGTGTGACACGATGAGCTGTTATACCCTTATGAGCCTCTATACATTCTATCGTCGACAGTTTATCATCCACGAATTCTAAAGAACTACCGTGATATCGGCGATTTTTTTTCAATGCGTCATTACTAATCATATGTTCAGGATTCAGCAAATTGTGTAAATCAAGTAAAGTAGCATTTTTAGCTGTTAATTTTTTGCCATGGTCCAATCTTCCTTCAAATATTTCACCAATAATTGAATCAATTCGTTCGTGTATCTTATTGTGATTATATTTGGCAGACATGATATCTCCCAACCAACCAAATACACGCCAACTATTCAACCAATTTTTTGTGAAATAAGCCGACGGCTTGGCATATATCTTCTGGATCTCTAATATAGGATATTTGGTAGCCAAACAGAAAGCAATGAGCCCACCTGTACTTGTACCAACAAAGTAATCGAATTGATCGGTAAACTTTAATTGACCTTCTTTAAATTTCTCCTGGTGTTCTTTGTTCTCGGGATCAAATACCTCAATGTCAGGCAGATAAGTATCTTTTATGAGCTCTCCAAGAACTTTAATGGACATATAGCCCCGCACCCCTGTAAACAAGAAACAATGTAAGAACAAATATCGATGCCTAAAGAAAATTAGTCGTCTTACCTCCACCATCTAAGCTCAATACACGTATCTTTCTTTTATATGCTTGTATATGGTATTCAACAAGCATTGAGCCCAATTTGGATCGTTGTTCTTCTTCAGACGGTGATGGCGGTGCAGTTTTTGTCGGCACTTTTTTCTCTAATATAGCCATAACATAAGACATCTCCATGTCATTTTCAATTTTCCCTTTTTCCATTATTCTTTGGAAGTGAGATTCTTTTATTTTATTCAGAAGTTCATGCCAATTTATTTCAGCCTCTCCAACAAATACAGAATGCAAATCTTCGTTGCCTTTTGGATCATCATAATTATTACTCTTATGATAATTCTTATGGTCACGTTGAGTTGCAAGTTCCAATTCAAAAGCAGGCTTCGCACAATTACGACATAAATCAAAATTATGGCATATTTTGCATTGTTTCCAACTAACTTGATCGAGTATAGTTCCACAATTGTCACAATAACCGTGTGCAGAAATTTGACTACATGAGATCAAAAGCGGCGGTGTCAACGGCTTAGTATCCATAGCCATATAGAAGTTGCTGTTGACGTATGTTTATGATTCTACGTGGACCTATTGTGTAATGAGATTTCAACACGATGGCTAAAATATATTCAGTACTCTTATAAATGCAATAACAGCTGCATCAAAAGAATATTTTCCCTTTTTTAATCTTCAACTATGATGTTTTTTCTTATACCCTACTCATCCTTTCTGTTTTATCTCCGTGCAGAAAAAAAGCAAGATGAAATATTCTGAAAGACTTTCATGTTGCTAGTCTTATTTTATGAAGTTTACTGTTTTCAATTTATTCTCTACTACGCCAGTTGTTTGAATTTATCTTTTCGAAAGTTGATATTCATACAAAATGTCAATCTGATACACTTACAAATCATTCAGATAATTTATCGAAGAAATTTCTTTAGTTTTGTCAAACAATTCAAGATGAAAAGTGTTCATTTATGATTAGCGAAATAATGATAAAATGATCCTAAATTTATGCATTCTGAAGAATCCTGTCTTGAAACGATAGTTCTAATCTAGTTCTATACAAGCTCATAATTCAATCAGTTAAACATATGTAAATTCATCATAAATATTATTGGTTTACTGATAAAAGTCAAAACGGCTGGGCCATTCTTATGTATATTTTGCTAGCATTCATGTTTAAAAGATGTGAAAAAGAAACACGAAAGATTTTCTTCGTTGATAACCCTCATGGTCTGAACAACATCTGCCAAAATAAATCATTGTAATTACAGTACTCACCGGTTCTACGGGTGAACCAATTAAACAATTAATAAGACACAAAGATTGAGACGTGTTAAAAACAACTAAAGCTTCTAATCGTTAATTATCTAAAATAAAAACCGTACAAACTAATTATAATCTTGATTAAGAAACCTTAATTTATCTAGGACACTTGGGCGAGATCAAAAAGTAACACATTGCAATACAGTATATCACACCAAAAGAATGATTCGATTTCTTTGGATGTTGATGATTGAAATTTAAATTGAATCCAACTTTCAAGTTTGACATCTGTGAAAATACTATAATTACCGTTAAAACAACTGAAACCATCTGTTCGGAAATACACCTTTGCAGGAAGTCTCAAACAGAACCAAAAATCATCCGAACAATTATATGAACATATGTAACTATTCATAAAACAATTGCAACATCCTACCCATCATTACTTGAAAACTTGAGAAATTACGTAGAAAGTTCCGGAATTACCATATGTAAATTTCGAAATTTCTACATATACATGTTATATTAAAATTAGAAGATCCTACACTGCTAAATATTGAACATTTCAGGAATTACATGGGAACTTTAATGAATTTTGAAATTTTGTATATACGTATATGTTGCAGTAAAAATTGAAATGTTCATTTCTACTATAGGAGGAGAAAAAGAACTTCCATGTGGTATATGACTCAAATTGAAAAGCGTCGAAGATAACAGACAAACTATTCTTATGAGTAGAACACATCATATCCACATAAGAGATACATAGTCTCAAGTGTTGAGTCACCCACGTGCAGCTGGAATATGAGGTCTAATGATCTAATCTGAACGACAATCGACCTCTTACATTTGATTTAACTATTTGAAAAATAAGAAACTCAATTTTGAGATGGAGTCGATTTCATTGCTTGACAACATCCCTCCTTACGACCATAATACTGTAAGATTTTGAAAAATTGCATCAATAGTTTCAGAATTAAAATATAATACTTGATTTCTTTAATTTCATATCTAAATCGAACAAGTTTTTTTTCAATAGGTTTTTAATTCATCATTCACATCTTTTCTTACCAAAAGTATGTTCATACATATACTATACTGGCTTGTGTATTAAGACGAATGTTATAATAATATAAAGACTTGATTAGTCGATAATAACAAGAAATCTCGATGTAGATACAGAATCGAAAGTCAGGAAGCAGAAAAGAAAGAATTAAAAAAAAAACAAGCTGAAAGAAGTTTTTAGAAAGAATGATAGGCTCAGCTCTTTAGTGGAGATAAGACGGGCTAGAATTGAAGAAAAAACTATAGTATTATCAACAGAAATTAGTGAACATTGTGATTTCTTTAGAGAGACTTTTCATATTCTAACATAAAGCAAAAACAACGTTTGACATAAATTTTTTTTTCATATTTACATCACTATCAAAACAAGATTCAACTTAATGAAATGTTTCAGAATTATTATCATAGATATCAACCACATTGAAGAACTATTAAAATATTTTCGCTAATAATAAAAAACAAAATTAATGAATTATTTCAGCCAAAAGTGTGACTGTTTTAATAATTGATTGAAGATCAAAACCTAATTCTAAAAATATACATATTAATTCTTCAAGACAACTTTCTTCGTTGTTTTTACTTTAGAAAAATTTCTTATGCATACTTTAAAACTTGTTTCATCTTTATCAATAAGATCAAGCATAAATTTTATTAAAATTTTAATCATACTGATCAATATCAATAGATGAAAAAGAATCTGAATAATTGTCATTAATCTAAATAAGAAAAAATAAATATTAAAATTTCTATTGTCGAACAAGAATTAACATACACTACGCATCTCCGAACGCTTCTCTCCTAAAGATACACATGATTCATAGTCAGAAATGACCTAAAGTTTTTCATTTGGCAGCTAGGATTCAATTGGATTATATATTTTCTTTAACAAATATCTTTCTTGAGACTCAGGAAACCCAAAAAAACGCGTTGTTTTTTTAGCGAAAATTCTGTAAAGCTTGCCAAAATTTATAGAAATGAAATTTTTAAGAAAAAAAAACATGCATTTCATTTTGATCAGCATATCCATAAAAAGATGGTACAGTCTAACCGGTTGTACCATGTAAGAGAAGACGTCAGCTTTTTTTTCGAACATTTAATTTCAAGAAAAACGCAAAGAAAGTTGAATTTTTGGTTTTTCGTTATCGAAATGTACTTATTAGATGGAAAAAATTGAAATCTATACCATGACAACAAAAAATTAGAAAATTTTGAGTTGGAAAAGGATGTTTCTTTAAATTAATTACAGTTTTTAAGAGAGCTAAGACAAGTACTTGACTTATATTATTTATAATTCTAGAGCTTGAAAAAACCTACAATCTATAAAATGCTCATTCGAACTTTACTTTATTAAGTACTCTTTAATGAAAATACTAGATGTAGTACAAAAGGTACTTGTGCTTTTTTGGCACTATTTAGAAGCTTTCTAAACATTAAACATGAATTGAAAACAAAAAAATGAAGCTAATCATTTCGCAGCAACTATATTTTGTGGATCATAGAGGTTTTAATAAATCAATATGTCGAGTGCAAAAATATTTCGTTTCTTTCTAGCGTTTGCTCCTTTTATCGAATACAAGAAAACAGCTAATTCGATCATTAGATAAATCTGAAGTATGTATTCTAATATTTCGAAAGACAAACCTCAGAAACAACTTCTTTGTATGTATGAAGATCAAAAAAGAATACACTCCTTATCTCCTTACAGAATTAAATTGATGTTATCGTCAGGCACGCAGCTAGGAATTCTTAGGAAGGCGAAGGGCGCCATAGAAAAAAGATACATTTTGAATTATAAAAACAAATCAGTTCCTACGCTTCCCTCCAGGTATTTCAACCTTTTTTGAGGTATTAATCCTCTCAATACCCCTCTCGGGCTGCATCTCCAATTATCACAATGATCAGTATGTCTTATTGATGGTGCATTTCCTGAACTGTTAAAGAGAATAAAAAACAGCAGATGAATTGATATTTGTACTTGGCTACTTCAACTAGAAACAAAACAATAAAGGTTCACATTTCTCATAAAATATAAGCATAAAAAAATCAGACAGTTTCGTTGGTTTTCTTATCAACTATCCGTGCACTAAGTGTACGTCAAACTCTTCAGAAGACTTTTTGAAATTCCGTGGGACTTCACAACCGAAGTCTCAGTTGTTTTCGCCTCGGTTTTATATATATGTACAAGCAAAAAACATATTTCTGTGTTTCAAAAGAACAGTACCAAACTCAAATTATTTGGTAAAATTTGATACTCGACAAATATCACAGTAGCTTTTAGTGTTCACTATTTCGAGATTCTTTTCTGTGTTCTTACTATCAATTTTGATAGTTGTTAGGATACTGTATTGAAGGCGTTCATATCAAAATGCCTTTCCAAAGAAAACTAAGTTGAATAGACGATATTGATCTTCCAAAGATGACCAAAAAATGATCAACTTAATCGTACTATTTTAAGCGGTGAATGAGAGAAGGGTGCAACCCGACTTGTTCTGTTTAATGAGCACAACTTCATCTTGATAAGTGATGTCTAAAGAAATTATTTTTTTCGTATTATCGAGGCAAGAAGCACCAGCATTAGCACTATGATATGGTGAAAAAGAATAGATGATATATTGATATTTATGTCTGTTGGAAAAAAAATTTAATTTCATTCAAAATACTCAGTATCCATTTTTTAATGATCAGATACGGTACTCCAAACGAATTGGACGTTCGGATGATAATAGAGCGATGTAATGTGAATATAATTGACATTCAGTCTTTCATGAATTCATATAATGAAGATCTTTTCAAATATTCAGCTAAGATATTCCAGAATTTCATAGTAAAACCGAGTGTATGTGTGTTTCTTTGGCATCCACATCGAGAGAGATGCAATGTGTATGTTTCTGCTTATAATTGAATAGTGGGGTATCTGATTTTCAGACGAAAAGTATTCAAAAATTGAATTTTAGGTTTAGGTATGACAAATATGCTTTGTATACCTACCATATACGTACTTCGTGAGGTTAAAAATACTAATGATACCGTTGAGGATAGAAATTTGTTGATATGGTCTGTTTTCATTTTTTAGACAACTTCTAATACTAATTTTTCCAAATATTATTTTATTATGAAGTTGGCTATCCTTATAAATCTTTTTATATATCAATCTGAAGTGATTGTCGTTGGATAATTTCATTGAGATAACTCAATGAATTTTTTTATTTTTA